TATGATAATATTTAATTTAAATGAATATATCTTTAAGATTCTCTAAGAATCAAAAAATCTACAAAAATCACCTGATTTCTTGTGATTTCATGATCTGCTGAGGTTACACCTTTTTGCAAACCGCTGTAAATTGATTTGTGATAAAGATACATTTCTTTATATTGTACTTGATATTAGGATGATATAAAATCGAATATAAACTAGTTTTTCAGAATTTTACAATCGAATTAGTTATTATAAATCGATTTAGTATGAAACTGGTTTAGTTTGCACAGGAAATCTATAACCGATATTTTAATTCACATCGGATTATATAAAAAAAAATATAATTCAAGATGCGTTTGTATTGTGAAGCTGTTGATAACAATTCTCTATAAAAGAGATAACTATTTTCTTTAGTTTCAAGATGCCTCTTTGGCTAAAATAAAAAAAATGCTATCTACAATAACAATAGTATATTACGTTACCGATAGACAAGAATCTACCTCTAATAAGACCTTTACTATTGTCAAAGCCGCCAGAATAATCCGCCCTAGAAGCAGAGTCGCTGTGCTAAACGTTCGTTTGGTGGGTTTTTACTCGCAAGATACAACTTAGGATTTGGCCTTGGCTCTCTTTTCAATGGACAACATACTCTTGGTTACTAGTAAATTCTGAATCGTCGAAGACATGGATGAAACTGGGAAAAAAATTTCTATCTTGAAAGTAAATTTTAATGTGAACTAGGTGCTATAAAAAGATACCAAATTTACACTTTTTTCAAAAAAAATTTTTTTTATGCAAATTAAGTTAAAATGAAATCATTATTATTTTTTATTTATAACACAATATTGGTTATATAAATAAAAATTTTTAGTATAACTCTTTATAGTTTGCATTTTCTAATAATTCATAAGATCTATAGTATAAAAATTATTTTTTGAGGAACTTATTTTGTCAGTTTAGTCTTTTTTTCAAATCTTATCCCGTATAATTTATAATTACCATAGTTTTGGGTAATAATACCTGTGAGTTTATTTCGAATTTTGGCCCGAATTAAGCTTAAATTAGGCCAAAATTTAAATTACACCTCTGTGCATTATTACACGAAAATACGATATTGTTTTTCCTGTCTCTTATCAAAAAATGAATCTCACTATTTTTAATTCTTATTCATCAAGATCTTTATGTCCGAAATAGTCCATCTTCCTATTAATCCAAGCGAATTATCTGTATTCTCTATTCTAATAAACATGACTGCTGTCATTGTTAAACCTTTGCAGATAGAACCTGATGATATTACTTTGACTGTTGAAGCTAAGGATTATATAGACCAAGATAATGTTACTATTAAATTAGAATGTATCACCTGAAATCTGCTCAACATCTTATACCAACTTCCTTTGCAGTAAAGACAGAAGCTGTTTTTTTTATTAGTAGTGAATTCATGATCGTTGATGATACTTATATGGTTCATTTTCGTAGCATTAACTTCGTTGAATATCAAAAATCAAGTTTAAATAATGTCAGTTTAAAAAAACCCTCTGCCAACTTTCTGTGGTTAAATGAAG